AGCTGCACAGGTGAGAGAGCACCAATGGCGACCGCTGCGCATAATACTCCAAAAGGAATTCATCAAAACGTTCCGTCGATACTTATGACGCTATACACGTTGTAAGCCCTTTTCACATAGTTCTGTCAGACCCAACAATAACTGGCGACAGAGTACCTATCTGTAATGAGGAGCTATGCTGCGACATACTGATATATTGCGCGAGAAACCAGGTAAAGTATCCTTAACCGCAAAACCAGTCTTCCATAGCGGATCTCCCCCGAACCCAAAGCACACCAAAGCGTCATCAGACATGAATCCAGCACAGGTCTCTCCGACCCGTAACAGGCGACGAACGACGATCAGCCGGCCGCGGCCGACGCCGCCGTGTGGTGGCGAAAGCGGCGCGCCGCCCGTTGCGACAGCGCCGTGACGGCAGCTGGCCCCGTCACGGAGGCCGTCACCGGTCCCGGAGCCCTGTCTCCGCCGGCGCCGGGCGCGCTCCCACCCCGGGAAGGTCGAGCCATTTGCACAGGAAAGCGGTCGGCGAGGCCTTGACGGCGCCCGGCCCCGAGCGGTGTGGCTCAGACGAGGCTGGCAACCGTTTTAAACCACAGCCGCGGCGTGGAGCTGCGAAACGCCGCCGTCTGGCGACTGAAACACGGCGCCCCGGGCTGATGTTTGCCGCTCCGGCTGCTCCACACATACCCATACATCCATCCATTGCCAGCGGCGGCGACTGTCGTCACGCAGCTGCGCCCGATGTGCGCCGCACGCACCGGCGCACACGCTGCCCGCGGCACGCCGCCGGCGCTGCCCGACCTCTGCCTGTGCGGCCCGCGTGGACGAGCGTGTGCGAGCTGACAGAACAGTGGCCCAGCGAAGACGAGCAGGGAAGAGGGCAGACCGACAGCCTGCAATCAGCCAAGTGGCCCGCCGTCGGACAGGCACGCAGCGCTGAGTGGCTGACGAACGAGGAACATCACCGCTCTACGGCCACCGCACAATCACGACAGGTATACGCACGAGCCCGTCCTCATCAGCGGCGTTTCCGATGTCACCAGACAGCTGACGAGGTCACGCACGTGACCTTGACCGTTCCGTCGGCGGTGTCGGTCAGCTGACCGGAAGTGGGGGGTCCCCGGGCGCCGCTCCGCGCCGGTCGCACGGCCAGGGAGGGGGAGGGGGGACAGCCCGGCTCGGCCAAGGTCATGGCGAGGCAGAGCGGGCCGGCGACGGGCGGGCGGAGCGACCTCGGCGGGAGATGTAGCGCCGATCGACCCGCCGGGGAGAGTCCGTGGTCGGAGCGCATCCCACCGTGGGCAGGAAGTGATAGAGGCGCACTGGTGTAGTAGAATGGTCGAACCTACTGGGGTAAATGACGGGAAAATGTAGCACAACTTCCTCATTCTGACGATAAGGTGTGAGGGCTTGCGAAAAAAAAAAAGCATTTGAAATGAGAAGTCGGTGTCACCCTGGATATGGCCCGTGCCCACACGGAAGAAATGGATAAATGGTCGGGCACATATAATAAAAAAGTTCCTGCAGACAGCAAGTCAGCCACGAATGACAAATAAAAATCAGGGTACTTCCGAGACTCCAGGCGTTCACCAAAGAAAATGTAACAAATTAAAAATGCTTAGCCATTCAGGCGCAGCGAGGACCAAACGACCAGCCCACGCCAGTCAGCAGAGGCGACGGCTGAGCCTTTTCCGTTTCTCTCAATGGATGCGCCCCAGTCTGTGCACATCGTGCAGCCAGCCAGGCAGCTGCAACTATTTAACCTTGGTAACCTTGCAACACGAGTGGTACCTAACAAGCTGCATTGCGCAATGCACGGAAGGACCGGCGAATCTGAGCCAAATGTCGTCCTGCTCGGTATGGTATTCATAAAAATATTGGTGACCTATAATACCAGGATATGAGAGTGGCTCAACTCTGTTCTTAGCCCATCGTGCCCATAAAGGAGTGCGGAGTTGTTCTACTCATACTCCAGCGCTTCGCAACACTAGATAGGTACACGTGAATGTGCCATCACATAAGTGGCAACATATTAGTTCCTAAGTATCGCTGGCAATATCCATCGCTACTGTTTATGGAGGCTCTACTGTCAATACTCCGAGTAGCATTCTGTCACACCACATCCATTATCATAAATTGGTGCCGAACAGCCCACAGGCGCGGTGTCCCTGTCTCCCAACGACCAATAGCCATGGCTGACATGACACACCGTCCACGCGGACAGCGTATGTATCGATTGTGGTCAATTCCAGGTGCCTCGTGAGCCCCCTGCCCCTCCCCCCAGCGGGCCAGGAAGGAAGCCAGTCGGCCTTGGCACGTGATGGCCGTCGGGTGACGTCACAGTTTGCCAGTGACGTCAGCAGTGGCGCACGGAGCTGACAGAGGAGTCGACAGACGGGAAAAGCCGGTCTTTGGCCGGCAGGCCAACGACGAAAAATGACGTCATAAGCTTAAAGGTAGTGTGCCACCTTTGAAAGATTTCCCATTTTATTTTTCCTAGGATAAGAAGCTTCTGTTTTTACCTAATATCGCAAAAAAAAATCAAAAATGGGCCTGGAATAGTGCCTTTTTCGCCTAAAAGTTTATCGGTTTTTAGATATGTATAACAACTGTAGTGGGCTCACCTGCAAACAGGCGTCGGGCAACAATCGCGAATGCGGCGCACTTGTGACAATAAGCAAAGGTCATTATAGTGTTACGACCATACGACGTACGGGAATGAGTTATCAGCTGTCTAATCGTAGACAACACAATGTCGAGCCTTAAACTGTAAGCCCGTATTGGTATTGTTTCTTTATTTGGCTGTCGAACATTATTTATGGTTTGAAATATGATTTTATGTAAAATAATTGATATGAAAAAGCCGTCTTATAAGTTATGACCCCATTTCACCACACGCAAGTGGCAGAAATGACAATGATCAGCTGACGCATTTTTCTTGGCCGAAGTCAGAGCGCGCGGCCCGACCACTGGGCCCGACGCACCACGCGTATTTGGAAATTCCGACCTCGACGAGCATCAGAAGCCACCTAACAGGCGTGTTCGAAACCGCAGGAGATGATGATGAACGGGTTTATCGAAACTTGATTGGATGAGCATATCGGTAATAGCGATTTCAGTGTGTGCATTTATTGTTCATAGTGGTGTGAAATGTGGTTGGGGTACGACCGACAACCCGTCGGGGCGAATTTCGCACTGGGGTACTCAAAATTTGAAGAATTTAAGACGTTTCCATGAGTTTTGAAGGTATGGATAAGTTCTAAAAATCCGGTTCTCCTTATCTGGGCCATTAACTCCATACGGTCCAAGAAAGCTGGCACACTACCTTTAAAGGAAAAGGGCCACCTTCGTGAAATATGAAGATATCGTTGTTTTTCATTTTGACATTATTATTTTTCATTTTCTTTTTAAAACTGGTGCCAGAAGTGCACAATTCGCGAAAAAGTATTTAAAACTATTTAACATATTGGTACTATGTTGATACTCTCTACGGCACCTACTGTATGATGGCATAGCGATGACGTCACACTCAAGCCAATCAGCGTTCAGAAGACAGACTCGTCGGATTGTGTCAGATAAGCTGATTGGTTAAAGCTGAGCTGGTTGGAGCTGATTGGTAAAAAACCAAAGCCTCGCCGCGGGTGGCTGTATTGTCGGATAAGAACGCATTCCTGGGATAAGAACGCATTCCTGGCGTATTTTCTTTAAAATTGCCGATAACTACGAATGGAGGCCGAAATCGGCCGTAAGGAGGTAGACAGTTAGGTTTTCGGACACGGGCTACAAGATGGCTATCTCAGTTTCAATCCCCATGTTAAAGGTGGCCCTTTTCCTTTAACGAGCACGAATCAAAATTATCAAACTTCAAACAGCAATTGGCAGGTCTGCCAGCAGCAACACTACCAAAGTGCCCTATTTTCTTAAGAGATACTAAGTACCACTCTGGGGCACCGTATCACACCATGGGAAAAGGCGATTAAGCAATAATTTCGCCATGGTGGAGCATGGGACATGTGTCCCGTATCACAGGGTGGTGACCTAGATTCGCGCCATCTGCGACCGTTTCGTAGCCGTCCCGTATCACTCATTGTTATTGGGGTTTTACGGCGGAGGGCTGGCAGCCATAAGCTGTAGCTCGACACCACTCGAGCACAGAAGAGAACAATCAGACGAGATGAAAGTAGCAAAGGTCAAAGCAAGTGCAAGAGAAGGGCTTAGCGGCGAATGAGAGTTCCGCTAAAAATATACGCCAAATCTCCCTCAGAAATAGTATCAATCTCCTCAGCCTCGGGCAATAAACCGGTTCGGCCCACGCATCCAAAATAAAACCCACACCCTATCCCCGCCCAGAGATACACTCTCCACAATAGAGCTCTCCCCGCTCAGCAACAGGTCTCTCCGCGGCCCTACGCCGGCCGCTCGGTCCGGCGACCGCCCCGGGCGGAGGGTGACAGTGTCTGCCCTTCTGCCGTCGCCGAGCTGGCCGTCCGCCAGCCGCTCCACGACAGAGACGTGCCCAGAGGGCAGAACGACGGCCGGAGAAACACGGCCCGGCACGGCGTGAAAGAACCGGCGCGGCGCGGGATGAGCAATAACGACTCCGGCACGCAACCATCGGCCCCTCACGAGCGTCCACAAAAAGCATTCGCCTCCGATCCGCCTCTACCACCTAGCTTCGTCCAAAGGAAAGGTGCCGAGCGAGCGAGGCGAAAGCGATCCAATCGTGACTTCAGTTCCGAGCAAAGAAGAGATTCAGGCAGCACCTCTCATGATTTGACGAAAATAAAACTGCAAATACTCCTCATTATGTGCTGGCTGCTGCCCCTCTGCCGAATTATTTTGATCATATGCTGAATTTATGTTGTGTTCAAGAAGTCAATCACATTCCACTTTGTATAGCCGATGTCTGACACCCACACCACAACGTCCCTGAGATCATGATCTCCCCTTAAGGCCGGCTGAGCCGCCCCGGCAGACGCAGTCCCCCAGGAGCCACTCACCTCTCGAAGCAGCGGTCCACATTGTCGGACATGAGCAGCAGCATGCAGAGCTGCTCGAGCGCGATCAGCTGCAGGTCGCGCTCCTCGCCCTGGCCCATGCTGAGCCACTCGAGCAGCGTCTCCGGGTCCACGTCCGCCATGGCGGCGGCGGCGGCCCCTTGCGGACCCTGCCGGCGCACATCGCACGGACACCTCAGTACACGGCAGGGACGAGAGCAGACTCAGCACGGCACTAACCACATCAACAATGCAGGGAACAATGTAAGTAGTGAACAGCCTAAGACAAAACATTCTTAAGCCCAAAGGACAGGCAAGGACAGGCAATAGACTTGATGAGACACCAGCCATGAGAAAATATCTGCACAAGCCTGAACCAAAAAGGACCCAAACTGAGCCACAGAAGTTAAAAATTCACACTTTTTAGGGGTTAAAAATTGTTAGTACCTACCTAGAGAACTGACTGGCCACTACCAATGACCTTTTTCAACACAGGTGCCTTCTGCCCAGTGCCATAGTGCAACACAACACCAAGGTTGAGTCAGACAAAAAAAAACATCACAACTGCCAAAATCTTGCGGATGTGGGGCACTCAGCACATGTGTGGTGCAAAACAGACTTACTGAGGTATGGTGCAGATTCAGTGTAAAGCAGCCAATAACCTGATGTGTACCATGCTGAGCCACTATGCTGGCACAGCACAGTCGAGGAAGATGACGTACAGGACATAACACAAAAGGGCCACCCAGGGAAAAGTTGGCCTTTTATTACCAGTTTCTCATCACAAGTGTACATATTTAATTTTGTAATGAGCATCCTAAGACTTAGAACTTGTGTTAGCTGGTTTAGATTTGCATCCTGGTTGATGTGGGTGGGCTGATATGAATTTAATCCCTGATGGTCAGCTGCTCACTTCGACCCTGCTGACCTAGAGCATTTCCTAGCCTGGGTTCAGGTCAGGCCAACCTTCCTTCATCCATAATGTGCACTGAGCCATGCTTGCAGCACACTGATGGGAAGACATCAGTTAGGTTGGCTGTTTTTTACACATCAGCTCAGCAGTTTTTCTGTGCATGGCTGGCAAAGATTGATGACTAAGCAAGAAATAGTCCTGAGGCTGAGGGAGGGGGGAAGGGCAAGTTTTCTTATAGTAAAATTGGCCTGACACTGAGAAAAATTTGAAGTGACTGATTGAGCCCACCCAAACAAGATTTGAGAACCTCTCAATGTCATCAGTATCTGCTTTCTGTGGATTGACAGCAGTCCAGACTATCATTTTAGCTTTCCAGCAAGTTATGAAATAGAAATGTGAAACAGACACCAAGTAACAGGGCTTCTACCATATGGTAGTGCTGTAAGATCAGATGGGAAACAATGTTTTATTTTGTTTTCATATAAAAAAGCTTCCAGACTAAAAAAAGATAAAATATTCCATAGTTTTCAAATTGAATATTTCATCTTATTTTGGTTTGGAAGCTTTTTATATAATTCAGCCCAAATATTTCAATAGATGAATTGATAGAGCTGGAGTCTATACTACCAAAGTATGGCTTACTGATTACAAGTAGAGCACAGCCCCTTCCAGCTGATCTGATTATGCCATTCCAGCAAATATTGAATAATTTAGAAGCCAAAATTTAGCATGCTCATTGCCCATGAAAGCCAGACATGGCCTGTCCCAAGGCCCTAAATACACAGCCTGTCCCACTCAGCTGACTTCAACGGGCAGCACAGCAGCTGCTTCAAACAACCACAGACCCTGCTGGAAACCAGCCACCAGTTTCCAGCATCAAGTACCACATGAGTTAACTTTGGCTCTGACTACTGAGAGTCCAATGCTTTACCAACTGAGCTACAGGACCGAGCTACAACAAGTTCAAGTTGATCCCAGTATCAGTATTCCCAGAACACGTCATTCATAAATTATGCGGATAACCATGCCATGCAATCATAACAGTGATGATAAAACTGGAGCAATTTTTTAAGAAAAGAGGCGCTGCTAAAAATGTCAATAACAAATATACAATTCATGCAAATCTGAACCACGAGCCTGAAGGCTCAACGGCAGTGAGGCAAATGCGACGCTCGCTACTACGCTGTCATTTACACCGTAAAAGACAATCCCTCAACGATAATGTCATTTTTGTACTCACGTTAGAGTAACGCTTGTATAAGAAAAGACTCAGTTGAAATCCAGAGCAATTATTTCGCACAACCCGACGCCACTACACTCCACAACCACCAGCTCGCGACTGAAGTGAAAAGAATCAAGGCAAAAGAATAAGGAAGCGGATAACTTTGCTGGAATTATTTCATATCTCTTTGTTCACTAGAAACCTAAATGACGTCACTGGTACAAATACTTTGTGGATGCTGAGCAAATTAGGTACACGTTATTGGCAATGCCTTCCAAGTGCAAATAGAAAAGTTAGGTACTTTTTTGTAAATCAATGCCAGGTTAAAAAAGTATTGGTGTTTTCTTTTGGGCACAGTGGCTGCCCGGCATACGTTAGGCAGCCGGGGACCGTGCGTGCAATGCCAAAAAATATCTCTGGGTGTGTGGACGATTTTTGAGAAGATGATTGGGGGGGGGTCGCCGTTGAGGTAATGGAAGGATGGGGGGGGGTCGTCGGAATCATCAGGGCCCTTCTTTTGGGGTCTGCAGCATAGGTGGAACTTTGTGCCGAGTTGGAAGGGCGCCCCGAGGCCCCGAGCTCTCCAAATTCGACGCCGGCTTGGCTTTGGAGCCGCAACAGACCGCGGAGGTCAAGGTCACCGCTAGGGCGGCGGCGGATTTGCTGCGCCCGGGCCCTCTCAGCTCCGCACAAATTTCCACCCGTGGTCTGCAGTTTGCTGCCTTCCCGGTTTACGATCGTGGACGGTCTGGTTGAAGAAAGACGATGGACGGCTGGTTTTTGAACAGCTCAACGGACAAAACACGACCGTCTGGCAAATGTGCGACAGCCGTGAGCCGATCTGTGATCTGTAGAATAATTGTCCATTTCTCTGGGTGTGCTGTACCCGGTCCTCATTGGAGGTGACAATTTATTTTGCATGGCCGGTAGATTTCACGCGATGAAAAAAGTGGAGCCGTGCGCCAACGACGGCTAGGCTTCATGGAGCCTACTGGGTTTCGTGTGGTGTCTCCTTCAATAAATTTTCTATTACAGATTACAGCCTCACTATGCCTAGGTCCATATATATTATTTATTAATGAAAAGATTTCCCGTAGCAAATTGCAGATCCATCCCGCGTTCGATACCTCTCGGACGACAAATATTCCACGCCGTTCGGCCAATCACGTTCCATAACCGCAGCCGAGCCCCCGCTGACCTCGTCCGAGAGACATCGAACGCGGGGTCAGTCAGCCAAGCCCAATGACGTCATAATGAGCTAGAACGACTGGAGCAGAGCGAGGCCGTATGAGCAGAGTGCACTTCTGAAATCCTGCGATACAAGTGGATACAAGTGAGGCTTTGCATCTTGACACCAATGTAAAATCGAAGGACCCAGGGAACAGGGTGTACCACGTCAACGGCCCAAACTATTCTTAGAGTCTCGATAATATCAATAGTACACAACAGATGAGACTGAATGGGCTAGATCATATACCTCATTGCATACACACAGGCTCTAAAAACGCGGTAATTTATTACAATCTTGATGCGCGATAACATAACACAGACCTTAAATAAGACTAATTCACAGAGCGCTCGCGCATACACTCATATAACAGCCAATTTGTACAGCCCTACCACGTTCGCCAGACAACGCTAACACATCTGAGTACACCGCCGTCACATCGGTTCGAGTTTTGCGCACACACTGCGGCTCACTGCACCCGGGCCGTCTCAGCGGAACGGACAGCCGGGCGCCCAATGGCCGCGGAACCCGCACACGTAGCACCGCCCGTAGCCGCCGTAGTAGGCGCCGGTGCCCTCCACGGAGGCATCCGAGTCGCCGTCCTCCGACCAGGCCACGAGACTCGCCACGTCTGACCCGTCGTCACGGCCGCCGCGCTCGTCAGAGTCCGGCCGGCGGCGCTCCACCGATGCCCGTCCACCGCCGTCGCGCCTCGTGCCGTCGTAGTCGTCACCGGCAGAGCTGTAGTAATCGGCATCCGACTCGTGATCGTTAACGTAGTTTTCCATCCACCGGCGGAGACGGCGGGGCACGTACTCGTGCACTGAGCTCATGGAATCGTATGAATCCTGCGAGTCATGGGATTCACGGGATTCACGAGAGTCCCTTGAGTCACGTGAGTCACGGGATGAGGCGCGAAGCGTGTGCCGAGAGTCACCTGAGGAGTCACGCCGACCACGGTGGGCAGAATAAGCCGACGAAAACGAGTTCTCCGACCCACGAGATTCGCGAGAGCGGCGTGAGTCACGAGAACGGCGAGAATCACGAGAACGCCGAGAATCACGAGACTGACGTGAGTTACGAGACGGGGGTGAGCGGCTCCGCCGCGAGTCGGAAGAGCTGGACTCACGACCCAGCGATGCCGGCAGACTGCGATCCGGGGTGGACCGCCCGCCCGCTCCAGACTCGGAGTCAGAGTAGGAGTCGGAGTCGTGCCGCTGCTCGGCGTTCCTCACTGCATCTGCAGAACGAAGGCTGTGGAACAAACGGTCGGTTGGTATCAGTGTTTACATATTTGGATCGCTTTAGCAAGTTCAAATACAGTGGCGGCTCGATAGTGTCGATGCAACTAGCGCAAATGTGACTGTCTGGTCTGTGAGGGATTGAAATTGAATGAAATAATAGTGGCGCTCAACTAGAACATTGCACGCAAATGTGAGCAGCGTATGTCAAAGAACAAACGCTTTAAAGGCAAGAATGATTCATGACCAGCAAGAAGAACCTGAACTTCGAAAGCAGGCCGGTCAACTACAATACTGCAATATCTGATACAAACACTAGCCCATCACAGGAGTGAGATGGAACTGGCGCCTAGTCTGGCAATGCACCATTCATTCAAAACTGTCATTGCATTATCAGCGCTGCCTCCCTTTCCGCCCACGTCCACGAGCCACCCCAGTGTCCCACCACCCCTGTCCGCCCTGACCTGTATCGTCGATGACGATCGGGTGCTGCGGGTTGGCGCCCGCCTGCAGCGCGGCGTTGATGGCCGCCGCCAGCTGGCCTCTGTCCATTGCGCCCGCCCTGCGTCCGGCCAGTACCGGGCGGGCTCCGCCGGGGTGCGCCGGCGCCGGGGCCCGGGCCGCCGCCCCCGCCGCCGCCGCGCCACCGCGCGCGGCTGTGGAAGGAGAGAGAGAGAGAGACGTGAGGGTCGCATGGAGAGAGGAAACTTTTTTCAGGCATGTCTGAGCGTTACCGATCGCCTGCGCCAGTTGGGAAGTTCATGGTTCTAGCAACAGTTATAGGCGCCAGTTCAAACTCGGGATAAACAACGATAAAATCCGAATTTTTTAAGGTCATAAGGTCAGGCAAGTCAACTCAAGCTTGAAAATAGGTCGCAGCTATACGGATTCAGCAAATGCTTTAAAAATGTCCCGCAAACAATTAATGAAGTGCCAAAGGAAACAAGATGCTGAATGCTGATGCCAATGAACAGCAGTTGGATATCAGCGCCACCTACCGCCCGCCGCCGGAGGCCGGGGTCCTCTGGCGGGACCGCCTCGCGGCTGGAACCATCCGCCGTACTGGTTCACCCGCTGCTGCTGCGCCTGCTGCCGCTGCGCCTGCTGCTGCTGCTGCTGCTGCTGCTGTTGCTGCTGCTGCTGCGCTCGCTGCTGCTGTTGCTGATACCGCCGACCTCCACGCCCGCCACGGCCGCCGCGTCCAGCCCCGCCTGCCGCCGGCGGTGCGGCGGCGGCGACCTTAGCAGCCGCAGCTGAGGGAGGGACATAGTGGTCACACACCGAAAGCTGGGGGAAGGGTTACAGAGCGGTCACACTGAAAGCTGAGGGAGGGGCGGAGTGGTCACACACCGGCAGCTGGGGGAGGACAGAGTGGTCATACACCGACAGCTGGGGGAGGACAGCGTGGTCACACACCGGCAGCTGGGGGAGGACAGAGTGGTCACACACCGGCAGCTGGGGGAGGACAGAGCGGTCACATACTGACAGCTGAGGGAGGTTACAGAGCAGTTACACACCGACACTTGAGGGAGGGGCGGAGTGGTCACATACTAATCGCTCAGCTTGGGAGAGCGGAGGAATCACATCTGATTGACGTCAGGTTCACTTTTGGAAGACATACCGACAGTATTGTTGAGACTTCTCCATGGTTTCACACTGATCACTAAGTTGACTCCCTCTCCTTCCCAACTTTCATCCTTCCTCTCTATCTCTCCCCTCTTCCTCTATCACCTGCGGCCTCCCGCTCCCTCCGAACTCTGGCGCGGTGCTCCTGCTGCTCTAGCCTCCCTCCCTCTCCCCCTCCCTCTCCTCACCTGCGGCCTCCCGCTCCCTTCGAACTCTGGCGCGGTGCTCCTGCAGCTCTCCGCCCAACTTCATCACCATGCCGTCGATGAAGTTGTCCAGCACGAGGCTGCGAGTCTGCGCGCTCACCGGCTCGCGGCAGATCGGACACGTGGGTCGCTGCTTACGCCACTCGTTGATACACATTGAGCAGAACGTATGTGTGCAGTTGAGAGTGATCGCCTGAGGGCAGGGAGGCGCGAGGTTAGCGCAACTAGACAAGTAGCGAAATTTGAGAGACACTGGACAATCCTCGATGCATTCAGATTAAACAAAACAAACTAATTCGCAACCCTAGATATCATATCAGGGAAGTCATTCCTGATATGATATCACAGAATTTATTTAGGGAGGCAATGCAAAGTGCCAACGGCAAACGAAAAGGTGACACAAAGTTCAAAACCACAGTCTCAATCCAACATTGTCCCTTAAAAGTTACGCACATCCACTGCTCGGAAAATAGGTGATGCTTGTTCATTGCTTAACATTGAAAAAAAATGCAAAAATGTAGTCCAAAAGAAAAACATCGCAAAAAAAAACAGTAGAATGATACCGGCTAGCTACGGTCACCAACATGCAACAAATCCACCACGAAACCCTACCTCCTACCCGGTGTCCACCGAGTCATACCGTGAAGAACAGCTCCTGGCAGATGCTGCAGGTGAGCTCTGCGTCCATCAGCGAGCCGAAGCCGTCCAGCACAGCCTTGCGCTCCTGTAGCTGCCGGCCGCAGACGGCCTCCTTCTCACGCTCTGTGTCGGTGAGTCGCGTCTCCAGCAGCTGTCGCTTGGCGTCCAGCGCCGCCAGCTGCGACTCGATGGTGGCGTAGCGGCGCTGCATGGCCTCGGCAGACTGCTCGCGCTCCTCTCGGGTTGCCTCCAGCTCGCCTGTGTCGGTACAAAGAGAGCTGTTTTACCGTGCGGACAGCCGCTCGCCTGTGATGGTACAAAGAGAGTTGTTGTACCGTGCGGACCGCCGCACGAAACGGAGTGCCATAGAAAGGGACCGTTGGAGGTAGGGAGCCGTTACCTACAGTAATGGAGCCGTCGCAAGGAGAGGACCCTCACAGGAGATGTCACAAAGGAAGGACTGTGACAATAAGGGAACCCTTACACAGAGGGGCCGATAGAGGGAGGACTGTCATAGGGAGATTACATTTAGGAAGCCGTCGCTTTGAGGGACAGTCACAGGAGCCGTCAGGTCACATTGATGTGAGTGGGGCCATTATCGCAACAGTCGTCGTAATTGGGCCTGTCATAGGGAGTGAACCGTCACGTCACAGGAACGGACCGCAATGGAAACGGATCGTCATGTTGGAGAGAGCAGTCACAGAGGAGTGAAGGAGTACATCGTCATGGAGCAAGGGAAGACATCGAAAAAGGAGTGAAGGAATGAAGGAAAAATCGTCAAAGGAGTGAAGGGGTGAAGGACGACATCGTCGTAGGACGGCTGTACTTCCACCTATGGTAGATCTCTATAAATCTCTCTTACTACGGTATATCTCGCTGCGCTTTCGGTAGATCTCATCAAGTCAACGGTCGGAGGCGAGTTGCGAGCCGGAATAGGCTGGCGACGGAAGAAGCAGAAATGGAATGGGAAGTTGTGAAGGCGCACAAAAGACGTCATGTGACATGTGTTACCTACATAGCGTGAAACGTTTCCTCCATTCATCAAACATCACGATAAAATTGATTTAAACAAACTTTCAACACTAACATTTTAAGAGGCCTAAGTTCAATCTGTTTCATCAGAGTTTTGAGTGCAGATCGTTCTTAAAGCCTGTTTGCGCTCGTGTGTACAAGTCAGAAATTAGCAGTAACGATATTTGGGAAAAGGAGAAATTAACATACGCTGCCGGGCTTATTAATGATTAATCGCTATATGGTAAGATCCGAAGGATATCATTGTGGCCATGCTGTTACGTGTGGCTAGAAGAGAAATCCACGGTCGAATGGTCGGGAAACGGCCGTGAGCATCATGTTCAATATGAAATGTACTTGTCCGGGCGCCTCAAAGGATGTCTCCGTGGCAAACAGAGGGGTTTTATGTCGAAACAGTTGTCCGAGTCAGTCCCAAAACGCACAATGCGCTAAACAGACCATTGGAATGTTGCTGTATTATAAACGACACGCACGAGAGTAAATGGTCACCAGCATGAAAGTCTTGTACATGAGCGTACAGCACAAACGCCTTGACATAGCACACACACACAAAGGCGAATAAAGTTGAAAAGTGGAATCGATCCAAGAAATATGAAAACGACGCAAACCGTAGCATCCACACATGGTAATGACCTATCTATACGCACACTACCTACCTACAAAAGCACGCCGGTGAATACGAAAACTGGGCACTTTGAACGACGCCCAACATTAGCCCGGGCCTGGTGCAGTGGCACACACCACCGACACCGCTGGTGTAACGGCAGCACCACTTACGAGCGTTCAACCACCGTCAAGGCACCAAATCTCCCCGTGTCCTTGGATACCACATCTTCCTTTGCCCGACACCCCATGTCGTGGAGGTGGCTGCTCAGAGTGGTCCAACGGATAGCTATCCACGCCCCAAACACCGCAGCAATCAGTCTGATAGAGTGGGCCACTGAGCGGCACACCCCGTCCTATTACACGGCAGACGGCGTCACGTGGAGAATCCCCACCGATCGGGAATCACACCACACTGGCACACAGTTTTGCATCCTCTCACTCCATCCTCCTCGCTCTCTCCTGCTCCATCCTCCTCGCTCTCCCCCGCTCCGCACCACGCCGATCTTCCCACACCGGTCGCCTACGCCCGCGCCCCACGGCAGCGCCGGCAGTACCACGAATCCTGGCACATGACCTGGCGTCGGGCGCGGCGATCCATCTTGAGGCACCTCATGTGGTGCCAGACGTCGCACCCGTCGCACGCCACGCAATCCGTGCCCTCGCTCTCCCGTCCGCACACGCCGCAGGGGTACTCGACAGCGCCGGTAGGGGCGCCACCGTCGCCGCCGACTGCCGCTGAGACCGGCGGAGCCTCGCCACCTCCCGGAGATTCGATTGCGTTCTTTTCCTGCGGGGATTTTGCCTGATGCGAGCCGCGGAGACGGTCAATTTTCCGCTTCCTTGTGGAGGTGTCGACCGAACGCCGGCGGCGCTGCCGAAGTGCTAAGCTGGCCGGGCGAGAAGGGGAGTCGGAGCGGCGAGGGAAGGTGTGCGACACCCCATCCATCGGCTCGACGACTGTCTCCTGGGTGGCAGCCTCCGCAGCGGCCGTCTCTAGAACGGTGGTCTCTAGTACGGTGGTCTCGAGATTTGTGGTCTCTAGAGTTGTGGTCTCGACAGTGGAGGTCTCTAGAGTGCTCGTATCCATAGCGGTCGCCTCCGCAGCGACCGTCTGGTCGGCGTCCTGGTAGTCGGAGCGGTCGTGGGCAGACACTGAGGACCACGAGCGGCGGCAGTCTCCGCTGGCCCCCTCAGCCGGGGAGCCGGGGCGCGGCGGATCGGCGGCGGCCGGCGGCTCTCCGAGGTTCTCCTTGTTGCCTTGCCGGTGTCGGTGTCGGTGTCGGTGCGAGCGGCCGCGGCGCCCCTTGCGGGCCAGGGCGAGCAGTGCCGCCACCGCCGCCGCGCCATCCAGACCTACCGGCACCGGAGACAAGTCGAGCTCAGGGCGAGGCGGCGGCGGCGGCGACGGCACTACGAGCGGCGGTCGGGCCAGCGCAGAACCGCACCGAGACGGAAACCATCGCACGGGTGGAACAGTTTGCACCACTTATTCCGTGGGAAACCGTCAGAATAAACAACGAGTGCCCCAGAAGATACTTAAGATGCAAATACGACATCATACAGTCCAGCAACTGCAGCACACTCACAAAAATAAGCAATAGATACAAAGTTATTATGATACATAGTTCATTCGAGCAAGAGCATTGATGATGCAACATTTTTAGCATATCAATAGGTATCATTGTTGAATCTTGATAACCTTTTATCAAACGTTGATTGAAAGCTGGGAACGTTTTTTACTGGTGTATAACAAAGCGCCGACGGTCAATTCTACCATCGTGAAGCGGAACATAGCACCGACTGTAGGCTGCGGGCAGCCTTTGTATAATCAGCGGTGAAGGACTGCAGTGTAGGAAGTTGATAAGCTGCCCGCCACGAACAGGTGTGACGGCAGTGACCCAAAATGTATTGATTTGGATGGAAAATGACATCCAAATGAAAATCTTTTCTTTTTACTCTCAAGTCTCAACTGTAACTTCTATACGCAATTTTCCACTCCCAAGTTAACCGAGAAAAAGCATTTGCATGGATGATCCTTTTAGACCATATATTTTACCACACTTGTGTAAAAATTTATACCATTGATCCCTTTTCCAATCTCTTTAGGCCTTATCTAACAGCCAATTTTCCACTCATATCCCGCTTTTTTGGAGGGTAATTTCCCTTTTGACACGCAAGCCAAAATACAATTTTGGGATACTGTGTGACAGTGAACTTATATGTCAGTTGTCAGCGAACAGTGCTTAAGACCAGGAAGACACAAAGACAAACAAAATGCAGTAAAAAGTATCAGTATCAGCACTCGGCAGCGGTCCAAGATCGGCTGAAACATCACTTAACTGGCCTCTGAGAACACTGGTGCTTGGTGACCATGAACTGACCTTCAGCTGGCAGCTCCTTGGTGACCGATATAGGTACCTCTGAGACTGAGGTGCCGTTCAGTGACCTTGAACTGACCTTTGAGCTGCTGGCCGGTGACCTTGCACTGACCTTTGAGCTGCTGTTCGATGTCGCGCCGCTCCTGCTCGAGTCGCTGCACCTCGGCCGCCAGCTGGTTCTTCAGGTCGGCCTCCTGCTGCTCCAGTTGCTCACGGAGACGCTGCAGGAGCACGGCGCCCATCAGACAGCGGTCAGGTGGGGTCAGAGGGTGTGGGAGGGGGTCAGGTGGGGTCAGAGGGCGTGGGAGGGGGTCAGGAGGGGTCAGAGGGCGTGGGAGGGGGTCAGAGGGCGTGGGAGGGGGTCAGGTGGGGTCAGAGGGCGTGGGAGGGGCTCAGGTGGGGTCAGATGGCGTGGGAGGGGGTCAGGACTCAGGGGTGGGGTCAGAGGGCGTGGGAGGGGTCAGGTGGGGTCAGAGGGGGTGGGAGGGGTCAGGTGGGATCAGAGTGCGTGGGAGGGGTCAGGTGGGGTCAGAGGGGGTGGGAGGGGTCAGGTGGGGTCAGAGGGCGTGGGAGGGGTCAGGTGGGGTCAGAGGGCGTGGGAGGGGTCAGGTGGGGTCAGGTGGGGACCAGATTAGTCAGCCGTCAGAAAGATTAGATAAGGTTTGCTTGTGGTGTCAGTTGTAACAAAGTGTGAAAGTGTGACAGGACAGGTTCAGACAGGAAACGTTTGCTAGTGATCAGCACTCAGCAGCTATCAGCGGCTCAAATAGGGCCTTAGCAAGCTCGCCAGTAAGGGATGAACGCCGTACGTTCTACGATTCAAGCCAGACATTAAATTAATGGCCAGCCCTATAATTCCTACTCAGTTTTGATAAACATGAAATGAAAAAAAACAAATATTATAAGATGAAAATACCAAAGCCGATCACAAAGAGGAATTAATTAGCTGGTCTGGCTACATGAATACAGTGGACTTACTTTCTCCTTTTCCACTTCCTGCTCCCGTTTCTCCATTTCCTCTTTGAGATTCAGCATTCGCTTTTCATATTCTTCACGCTCCTGTTGGAAGGTGGGGGGTTGATAGGTGATAATATGATACCTACTAAGAGGGGACATCCATTTCATTAAAAAGGGCAAACATCTTACAAAACAAGAACAAAGCAACATCCTTATTGAAACGAACAGCTAGAAATTACCTTCGAGCTCATATGTTGCAAAATATGAACCATAAAGCTAGGTACTTTATGGATGGTATGATCATTCACCAACTTATGATTAAGATGAAGTTGATATGATTAAATGCTTATCAGATCTAGCCATGCTGAGTGATAAAGTTCTTATCTTATCTTTTACAGTGAGGTAGGTACTCGAAGCTATCAGCTTGGTGTCACACTCATCGAAAAAGCTCACGAAAGCAATGCCACATAGCCTGAATAGGACATTGAAATCTTAAAACCATCACAATAAATAATACCTATATGGTGAACAGAGCTGCCGTCAGCCCAAACATACCTTGGCAGCCTGTTCGGCCTGGGCCTGCTGCTCCGTGAGTTCCTCCTGCATCTTTCGCAGCTGCGCCTGAGAACGAAACAACTCCAGTCAGACTCAAAGAAACTCTGTCCTCACATTATTGTTACCTGTAGCAAGACTACGAGTGTGGGCGACAACTACTTTGCTGCAATTGTAGTACTATTTTCGCTCTTCATGACCGCGTCCATTATCGAGGTGGGGAGCAGCCTAGACAAATTTCACGAGTTGCAGCTGCTCAGCGTTGGCATACATAAGCAATAAATGTACTTTTATCTCTACACTTTGCCAGTCATTTCCCCAAAACCCTGTAATCTCCACCACCATCACCGTTCGTCCGACCGCGGGACAGCGCACCCACCTCGAGCCTCTCCTTTTCCTCCTTGATTTTGGCCTCCTGCTGCTCGGCCTCTCGCCTCATGGCCTCCTCCCTCTCCTTTTCCTCCTGCAGGCGGGCGGCGGCCTCCCTCAGTCGCGCCTCCTGCTCCTGACGCTCGGCCAGCACGCGAGCCTCCACCTCCTTCTGACGCTCGATCTCGCGCTGTTTCTCCTCGATCTCGCGCTGTTTCTTCAGCTCTTTCTCCTTCTGAGCCGCCTGACTCTTCTCCTGCAGCCGGCGGACGTACTCCTCGCTGCCGGAGGGATACGGCAAGGTCAGAGATGTGGCGACAAGACACGGTCAGCGAGGGAAAGTCGGGACATTAGATAAAAGGAATATTGAAGCAAGTACGGCTGATTGTCAACAGACGTTAGAGATTGGCTTTATATTCAAAGGTTCATAAGACATTGAATGCATAAATGGTTGACGTGAAAACGAACTTCTCAGAACAGCCGATGACTATAGAATATCGCAGCGGGCTCGGCGGAGACGGGGCAGCAGCTAATTGTCTGACGAGAGCACGCCAGTTGACCAAACAGCCGACCCCGTGACCCGCGTGACGCCACTGACCCGGAGAAGGCGCGTTTGGCGGGCGGCGGCCGGTCGGTGGTCTGGACGGCGCGGTACTGGTATTTGCCCGGCTGGTCGAGCTGCAGGGTATCGTTGGCAGAGAAGGGGGTCGGCTGGCGAGACGTCAGCCGGCGGCCGTTCAACAGCACACCGTTCAGACTCTGTGACCGTAAAGGAACGACGGCGTCAGATAACACACGGGATAGTCAGGCGACGGATGAAACAATAAGCCGACTAACTGCCCCCCACAACAGGTCGCAGCGACCGAAGAGGCCTGCTGTAACAGGGTGTGGGCATGACCATAGAAGCCGCTCGCCTCAAGCAGTGCATGTGTTACCAGTGGACCAGTGCAGAAATGCTAAACACAATACCAACAAATCATAATTTGGGCCAGGTTTTGTCCCCACATTAAATTCAAAATGAACCTTGCAGCAAAAAGTCTTTGACTTTCTAATTGATCACACAAAAAGTGAAAAAAATCATTTTTTTAAAGTACTTTCAAGTTCCCTCACACTTTGATCGTTCCAACACGAACACAAAGGCAGGTATACCCGAATCGATCTGTCTGGGTTACCCCACAAATACGCTCGACCTTACCCTCACGCCGACCCCACCCTGTCTGGCCCGGCTGTGTTGCGGTCTCACCAGGTCAGTGATGGTCCAGGTGCCGTCCTCCTGGCGGTTGAAGCGCACGTGCTGGCGCGATATGAGCGGGTCCGGGATGATGAGCGTGGACATGGTCGGTGAGCGTCCCACCACCAGCTGACGGTCACACAGGTTGGGTCACATTGACATTGGCAGCACTTGTCCCCACTGGCGATAACAGTGGTCCGGGACATGATAGGTGAGTACCTCAACCTATATCAGACTTTGACAAGCAAATGAAAAATGTCAGACACACAGTAAATTATATATTATTAAACTCGTTGACATAGAAAATGTTTTATAAAATGCTGCTTAAATGCTTTTAACCCATGAGAATGAATAAAACCAACACTTTATTTTCTTCGTCAGTGCTTCCTATTATCATTATTAAATGACAGATAATATGCACAACACATATTCAGACAATTCAAGCACATAAGAAGCACAAGCACCTACCTCAGGTGAGTCCAGAAATATGTTGTGTTCTCTTTCAGGTGGGCCATCATAATTGATCCTCTGAAATTCAATAAAAGTATCTGCTTGCTCAGCATCAGCGTCCATTATTGCTGCTGGAAACAGACATTATTTCATTGTTATTTAAAATTGACATGTCTGAGGCAGCAACATTTCAACAACTTAGCAAAAGTGATAAAGGAGGGGGAACATGCCAGCATGGCGTCCAGCAAATGTCTGTGAAGCTGATGCAAGCAGTGCAGCGGCAATGAATACCTGCATTGTCATGCTTGCTGTTGTAGATACTGAATCTAATGCTTACTATGAGATACTGAATCACTTAAACCCTCGCCCGTAGGGCGTAGAGGGGGGTTGGAACGGACCCCCCCCCCCCCTCGGTTTTTGGCGAATAACTCGCGTAAAAAGCGGCCGAGCGCGACGAAACTTTCAATCGCGTTAATCAATTTTACATCTACCCTGAAAATTTCATGACCCTGACCCAAATGACCTTTGACCTGCTTTTCGAGACCATGTTTGGCTGGAATCGCAATTCGGCCTATATCGGCTCGCATTAGCCGCGCGTTTGCAGTCTTTTCGTGGTTTCAAGCGTTCAAACATGTGATATGATGTTGCTCCCATGCATTAGGGTGGTTGTCAAGGTCACCTGAAGGTCAGGTCAGGTCATTTACCTTTGATGACCTCAGTTAACTTTTCTATTTTTAAATGTTTCTAATCTAGGCTAGTTTTTTAGCTAATTCGAATTTAGCAACCATGTAAACATTAACGAAGTAGTTTTGGTTCCTTTGTAACATGATCAAAGCTGTCAGAGGCGGTTGACACCTACTATGAATACCCGGCAGGAACCCTTATGATTGACCTGACCTGACCAGACCCGACCCGCATGGCCTAAATGCACAAAGACAATATTTGCCATCAAAACTAACATGATATTCGTGATCAGCACCCCCAAAAACCTCTTAGAAGCCACACCTTATGACGTTCTAACAGGTCCCGACTTTCCCGACTTTTGGGTCATTGACCTGACCTGGAAGGTTAACCATTGACCTAGGAGCTTAAAATTGGGTATCATCGGCATCCTCTCGTCACGGGCAACACGATCGTTTTTTTTTTTTTATCGCCGAAGCTCTCGCCCAATCAGGGGCGAAATGTCAAGGGGGTCCAATGGACCTTTATGGACCCTTATACAGGGTGTAACGAAATTATCCGGACATCTATTTTTTCGACATATCTGCTCGCAGTTTCTTTTTTAATGTTCGAAGCTGGAAAATTGGATGAATGCATGCCTCTGGTATCTGCTCTCACCTCAGCAGTGACCTGATCTTGCGAAAGGACTCTTACTCTGAGTGAGAGTCGAAAAGCCGACGGGTTCATTTGATAGGTTTCGTTTAAGGCAGTGGAGAGAAGGGAGTACAGTCTCTAGTTTCGTAGTAAGGCTACGTGTTGGTGGCATGATGGCATGAGCCAGAAGCTGGTCTGTCAGCAGCTGGACATCAGCAGCAGCCTAGCACTGCAGCATATCTGCCTCAGGTGTAATAAGCTGGGACTTGGTGGCAGACTCAGCCCGGCCTCGATCGCAACGGCCGCCCTTTGCCAAGTGGTGAGGAGAGTTGTCAAGATAGCGACAAGGATGAAGGAAACGGCACCAATTAATCCGCAAAATGACTCGAATTCGTACAAAAAGATAATAAGAGGTCCCAAATCATGATTCACCGTTACCCGCCCTTTAGCATTTAGCTTGATTTTACTGCCCTTCAAACTGAAAAAGATAATGAAATTGACGGGAAAACAGCCAGTCCACCACCTTTGGCCTCAGGCCAGGGGGCAGGGCGTGTCCACTGGTCGAAGGAAGACATGAATGAGGTGGCCTGGTCGGGTGGGAAGCTGTTCAAGCAGCAATGTCCGTTGAACCGTCAAATCGGCCATGTGTGGGCTGCCAGCAGCTCGAACATGTCACTCGTCGCCAGCGTCAAACGTCCGGCCAAAATCCAGACCTGGAGCATGTTCAGCTGCTGTGCAATATTCAAGCTGTTCATGACGCCACATAAAACCACTATCAGTGTCCAGTGACGAATATTACCGGCGCGACATCCTGGGCCCTGTTTCACCGGTGATAGCAGCACGCTGCTTTTACACGTGTCAAATTGGGTTTCCATGGAAACATCAACAGGTCCATTGCTCCAACACTACCACAAGTGTGACGTCAGCTCGCGCAATTTGATAGCAGCGTGGTAGCAGCGTCCCGTGAAACACCGCCCTGGCTAGCGATTGGTTGGAGCCACTCAACCAGACGGCACAGGAGGGCTCGGTTTCTGAACGCGTACTGATGCCTGATTCAAGCGGCGCAGTCTTCTTGCGGGGCGGCGCACCACCTTGAAGTCCCATTGAGCAGTGATGCCGAGAGGATCTATTGTTCGTCAGGGCTAAAGGGATATGGCTTGGAAATAGTTCCCATCCCAATTCCATCAATACCTTATGGACTATTGTCCAGCAGGAGATGAATGAAAGGACACCCGCCACCAGCGCCGCCCAACTGTGGGCACAGGTTAGTAAGGCGCTGCTCTACATGAAACCCATTTTGCTGGAAAACCCAGTGGCCACAATGCTCCAGAAATTTGTACCTGCACTCTTATGAAAGGTGGCTATATAATAATTCAAAAAAGAAAATATCAGATTGTCTTGCTTCTTAATCACAGCTCTAAGAAAGGTGTCCGGATATCGTTACACCCTGTAGGTACGTTTGCGGCTGATAAAACACCAATACGGGCGAGGATTAAAAAGTGTGAATTTATGCATATTTTCTGCACACATCGTGAAAATTTCAGATCCAGGTCACTAGGGCCAGGTCACCAGGTCACATCATGTGACCTCACTTCAGAAAAATTAGAATGCACAATAGCTAAACAAACAGAACAATAACCCTGAAACATTCAGCTACCAATAAGGGCAACAGTAGTATGTATGAAATGTATATCTCAGACTTTTGATATCAGTGCCCTAAGGACTAAGGTCAGGTCAATTTTTGCCCACCAAAATTTACAAGTCAATGGGAGAAAATTGAAAGGTGCATCTTTGGCACAAACATCATTCCAAACACTCTAAGACATTGAGTTAAAGGTAAAAATAGCACATTGAATCAGAAAATTTGCATCTGTGACCGCTCCTTATGTCCCTAGGCAGCCTGAGGTCATCTCAGGTCATGAAAAATCTTCAGCCTTATTTTTAAAATAACTTTTGATAGACTTGCTAGAGCAATGAAACCAGCTTAGATGTGTTCAAGTTGATGATACAGAGGAACTGATATGTAGCAATAACTTTACCCATCAGGTCATGACATTGACCTGAGTCCTGAGGTCAAATTTTCAAAATAACTTACAAGGTCAAACTGTAGTACCTTTAATGCATTTTGTAAGGAACACAATACTGGCAAGGAAAACAAGGCCAGCCCACTATCTCGAGTCAAAAGTTATTCCAGAAAAAAATCATAGAACAGATATTTACAGTGTTCCAAATTTGTTGTTTTGGGTGGGAAACGACATCCAAATGAATATCATTTCACACTCTCACCTCCAATTTTGAAGAGCAATTTTCCACTCCCAATATTACGAAGAAAAAGCATTAGCGTGGATAATCGTTGTACATCTCATATTTTATCACGCATGGATAAAAATTAATGCTATCGATCTTTTCCCATCTTTCTGGGCCTCACCTTGGCCAGCAATTTTCCACTCTTATCCCCATTTTTGGAAAGCAATTTCCCCTCTGACACCCAAGCCAAAATGCAATTTTGGGACACTGGATATTTAAGGTATTTTAGCCTTCAAGAGGATAAACCATTGCTCTTAGATCAGATCTAAAGAAAAACATTCTACAGAAAAAAGCAACTAAACAGCTACCCATCAGGCACCAACTGCACTTTTCAACAGAACTGTAGCTTTATTGACTCCTGATATATGTATGTGCCAGTTAAAGTTAAGTTGAAATTGGCAAAATTTGACCTACAACAACTTCTGGTGACTTGGAAAACATTCCATATGTCTTTTTGAATGCAGGAGCATTTGAAGGCTTAGGTATTAGTCACATCACAAATGCCCTGTTACATTGCATATTTTCACCAATAACTAGGCACCCTTCCTTTGTTAATGGTTGGTTCAAAGCTTAATTCATTTCAAATAGCCATTTCAGGTTAGAGCAACAGTTCAGATACCTACATACCAAATCTGAATGACTTATTGATGACTGGAACCCTATTCTCTGCATCAGATATCATGGAAAAGACTTAAAAATGCTGAATTTTGTTGTACCCTTCCAACCAAATTTCATCACCTTTCCCCATAGCAAGTATTAGGTTACCAGAGCTAAACTCAGCAGCATGGCATCACCCAACTTATATGGCCTTGGCATCACGCACCATAGACGGCCTTGCGTGCTCCAGTTATGTGTAATTAGATTAGAGATGTAAGTGCACTAAGATACACTGCATGAACTGTAAAACAATGTGTTGCCCCGTGCTCAATATAACAGATCATTACTGTGGGAGAGATTAAAGGGAATAGCAAATCAAATAGAAATACTTGTATGTCTAGGTTAGCATCAGAACATTTCCACCATGGCCACGAAACTCAGTTGGGGAAACTACTAGGAGCCAAACTACAATTTGATCAGCCAATCAACGGCTGCAGTGATGACCGTATGAAGTATATGGTCATAAAATCAGAAAACTTCATCTTTTCCATGCATTCAAATGAAAAAATGTGGCATAAACATGTTTTTTAACCAAACAAGGCCTACATACAGTAGTCGATGCACAATGCACTGGTGGCTCTAAATCGCAGAGTTACCATACAAGGTCAAACAGTGATTGGCAAATATGGTGGATTGAAATTTGAAACAGAAGTGCCAAAAAATGTAAGCACTAAGCAGCACCGTGATAATAAATTATAAAATGTCATTATTTTTATTATTTTGTTTATGGTTTTCCCATTGAAGTCAAATTATTGCTTCAAAATTAAGCATGTTTATTTATTGTAATGACATAAAATCTTTTAACAATTTTCTTTCAAAACACCAAACCATTTATGGAATGGCCAGCTGATTGTGATGCCCGGAGCCTGCAGAAAAGTTGTTTTCCAATCGCCAATTTAGAGAGGATTCATCAAATTTAATTGAATTGTGTTACTTCCTAGTGGAAAATGGAAGCCCTTTCTCTGTGATAAGTGGACGCCATACCGCAAGTGTCGGCACGTTATACCGTTTTCCCCCGTAGTAGCGAGGGCTGCATTTATGCCCATATATGGTCATCAAAAGTCTATTTATTGACCGATAAAATTTTGGATCTTCGCCTCGTAGTTTCCCCCACTGAACTTGCCCGAAACATTGCAACTGCCAGTTCAAGTTTGTTTGACTCGTTTTCTGACCAATTGCAATGACTTGTCATATCAATATACACATCAGGCAATTCTAAGGTAATAGCTACAATCACTTCTATAAAAACTGTAAGTAGCATGCTCATGCATCTCAACTATTATTTAAATAGTATAAATGTGGTTAAAAAGATGACCCACACATGTGACACACCACACACGGCACACACAACAACGCGCGCGCGCAGCTAACAGCTGATTGACGAAATCAAATGAAAAAGTTTGTCTTGACGCACCAGAATTGTCTAACAATGGTATTGCTCTTTTAAATGCGGAATTCAAAAACATTCATTCAAATAATTCACATCATTAAAAAAGATGAGTTATTGTATAAAATTATTCAAGCATAACAAAGATACAAGTCTACATACAAATAAAAACCAAGCAAATTCATCACATTGTGAGATATATAATGACAATTTAGTAGTCTACACTTACCTTATGCCTTTATTATTTTTATTGCCCGGGCGAATTCACCCATGAATCATCTAGCTAGACTGAGCTAGACCACCTAGACCAGGGGTAGGCCAGAGGCCTATAGGAATCTTGGGGTAGGCACAGGAGCGTCGCCGACGGGGGGGGGGGTCGGGGGGTCGCGACCCCCCCACTCGTCAGAACCGGGGGGTCGACCCCCCCCCCCACACTTTTGGCGATGCTGAATATGCTTTTTTTGCTCTATCATGTCAGGGAAGTTGGCGTCAGCAACATCAACAAATACAACGTCAGATTCAGAATCGCTTCAAGAGCTCCCTAGTCCCTATTGCTTATAGGTCAATAAGCTGTGGGCTAGAACATCAGCATGACAATATGATTTTAGTCCCTTTTTATCCCTCAAATGAGCGAGCGCGTCAAAACTGACCCAAGCGTTCGTCTGATTGTCAAAATAATGGTTGCAGTCGATTCGTCGGATGACGTATCAGTAACTACGAGGTACAGTCACCAGCACTTGCTACCCATCACCCCCGGACGGCGGGGGAGCAAGCTACCACCGCCCTTGCGAGACTAGCGCCGCCATGCGCCAAGAAGTGGAAACACCACGTGACTGAGGCCACGTGAGGGCAGGGTCACGTGATGGAGGGGCGGAGCATAGTAGCTTTTGCGCCCGACACTAACTGAAATGCGGCGCTGTGATTGGGCGCTTTAGCATGAATGAAGCCCCGGCGCCAGAATCAGCCGTTCGCCTTATATGGAAGGTAAGCCTAAGCGTTTCACTGTTCTGTGTTGGTTTGAGAGCCACGGCACCATACGAATTGTGAGCCCCTTTGAACGGGTCACCGCCCGAGGCACTGAGGCGACGGCTGTGCCGGGCAAAGCCTAGCCTGGTAGGAGAGGTGGGCCAGGGAAAGTGCGATCGAGCAGCCACACTGAGACGTGGATTGGTATTATCTAACCGCGACAAACGATGTCAGCAGCCTCTTCTCGTTTATACGAAAAGTTTGACAGATAACGTGGGCAGTGCCCAATCAAAAGCTACCAAACGATTCAGTTAAGAAGTTTGCGAGATAACCAGACCCAATAAAAAGTTTTTAATTCGATTTTGATTGACAAATGACATACAAGCCCGCTGTGATGGACCAAAAAAGGAGCTGAACAGTTCATACAACTTCTAAAAAGCTCAACGGCAAAAATTTAAAGTCAAATGTTAAAATTCAGCCTGCTTAAACTCGGGTCCGGAGCTGGCAGGAAGCTTATATTGCCAAGCTTGCAATTCCACTACGTGGTAATATAACCAAGAGTTATGTGAGAGCAACAACTGAAAGCCTCGAGCCCCGTTGAGGGGAGGGGGGCGCGAAACAGCCCCCTCTCCTTTTCAGTCGATGTCTCCTAAAGTATAGCGTAGGTCGCCACCAAACTTTCAAGACCCCTCCGGGCATCATTTTACACCTTGTGACCAAATTTTTCCAGAGCTCTTATGAAAGGTTAGTCACAAATGACGTCAGAGTGACGTCATGTGCTGTCATTTTCGACCCAATAAAAGGTTTAGCGGGAAGAGCTGTCACGCTTACAGTTTTGAAGATAACAAAAAATAGGTATTCAAGATAAAAAGATGTAAAATAAACAGCGCTACAAAACTGCCAACTCTGATTTCTAAACAAAAATTGATTTCGACCATCAAAACTACAGAACTATAACACCCCGAAAATACCAACAACATTCAAAATTAAAGCTGGAATATATGTTATAGAACTATCTGCTCTAGATATGCCAAACTTAAACTCGACAGCTCCATTTTTAGCAAAGTTTTGGCAAAAAAAAAAAAAACACTACTCAAAATGTATTACGTAAAAATTTCAAACTCAATTTTTAGCCGTCACAGAACACACAGAGTAAGCCAAAGACCATCATAGGATTTCCCGTGATGAGCTGCATCGAATAGATACCCCTTTTATGCAAAATATCAACTCTGCAATTTAACCTTTTTTGACCTGACCTTGACCTGACCTCCACCAGAACGTAATCTAAACCGGCCCCAATGGCCGTCTAGCCCACACCATTGAAAATTAATTGTAAAATTGACCATAAAACATGTATCACGCGACCCTAGCAATTAGCATAGTTGGGTTCATATTGTGACCCTTAGTGACCTGACCTCTTTGACCTGACCTGGCATCAGTGACCTCTTTAGGCAACATATGTATTGGGCAACCACGCTCCATCGATGTTTTTCGATAACATGCCTTTTATTTGATGTGTTAACGGATTGTAACGCTTACGCATTCCTTAGACTAAATCGGTGAAAAAATGCAGCCTTTGACCTGACTTGTGACGTCATGGGTTGCACCTAGATCAACGAAACCTGGTGACAAGGTTCGATAGCCCCTGGTGGGGCTATCGAACGTTCTTCGAATTTTCAAAATCGGTCGGTAACTTTCCGAGATCTCAGGTGGAGGACGAAACGGCTGCACCACCCCATCACTCATCAGGTGGTAGGGTCCGCCAATAAATAGCCCAACGGGGCGCGAATTATTTACTCATTCATACAGTGTCATCTATTTTGAGAACACCTTTCCCACGCCATGACATGGTCCTCTCGTAAAAGATCGAGATGAGGAGTGTTTTCACGCCTCCTTATGCACGGCTCTAGTGTCATGGAGCTATCAACTGTCAGCGGTTTCCGACAATGAAGGAAGGCTTTTGGTCGTTTTAGGTAAGATCTTGGGTCAGATCATTTCAGTGGCGGATCCAGAGGGAGGGCATGGGGCCACTCTCCCCCTCCCCTTGGGCCTCCCGGGGGCCCATCACGAAGCTTTTTTTAATTCATCACGGAGGTCACCGACGGGAGCTTTAACCCAGAGGTCTCCTAAGGGGGCACCATCCAGAAGGTCTATCGGAATAGGGTACCGTTTTCGGGGTCTCCCGGAGGCCCATTTCTGTCCCTCACTTCGGGTTTTTTTTAGTTGAGTTGAGTTTTTTAGTTTTTAGTTAAATATTGTCCATCTATTTCCATCCCGAGGTCCGCGGGGGCACCGTCTCGAGTTCTCAGGGGGCACTATCCCGAGTTCTCCGCAGGCACCATCCCAAGGTCGGAGAGGGCACCATCTCGAGGGTCCGGGGCGCCATCCCAAGGTCTCCGGCGGCACCATCGCGAGGTCTGGGGGCACCATCCCGAGGTCTCCGGGGCATCATTCCAAGTTTCCAGGGGCACTTTTCCGAAATCCGAGGTCTGAAGGAGCACTCTCCCGGGTCTGAGGGGGCACCATCTCGAAGTCTCAGGGGCACCATCCTAAGGTCTCAGGGGCACCATCCCGAGGACTCAGGGGCCGTTTGATCCGCGCCGTCCTGGGGGGGGCGTTTTTACGTCCCCTAGGTTTTTCGTGAATATCTCAAAAACGGCGACGCGTAGCGCCGCTGTTTTAGATACACCCGTTCCGACATCTTTTTCGCACATGCTATTAAAATTTCAGATCCCGGTCATTCAAGGTCAGGTCACCATGTAACGTCAAGTGACCTTACCTCAGAAAAAGTTAGAAAGCTCGCTGTAGCTACACCGACTGAGCGATCACTTTGAAACTTTCAGTACTTGCTTAGGGTAACAGTATGTATAAAATGGATATCTCGGATTTTTTTTTATATCTGTGAGTTGTGACCTAAGGTCTGGTCAATTTTGCGACTGCTCCATATAAGTCAATGGGAGAAAATTGAAATGAGCCTCTTTTGGCCGAATGTCGTTCTACACCCTCTCAAACATCGGTTCATATGTAAACATGACACTCTGAATCGGAAAATTGCACCTGTGCCCCTTTGTGTGTGCCTGAGGTCATCTCAGGTCATGAAAGGTCTTCAGCAGTTTTTTATTATAACTTTTGATTTGACAGAGACGTGCTAGAGCGGTGAAAACACGGGGGCCGTGTTTTCACCGCTGATCTGACCGTTGATCCGTTGATCTGAGGTCAAATTTGAGGTCAATCAGAGCGGTGCCCTCTGGGGGCTAAACCGTTGACCTGAGGTCAAATTTGAGGACATGTTGGCGAAAGAGCGTTAAAAGAGCTATCGAATGCGCTTTTCCACGGCGCTGTAGCTCTATTGGTTCCAGAGTTAGCCGTCGGATGTTTAAAATCGTTGAAATCGACAAAATTTGACCTTTGATGAGCTCTGGTGACCTGACCTTTGTCCTGACCTTAAAATGACCGAGTGTTTTCCTTCTTATTTTTGACGCTCTATCGATTGCCGCTTACCCCGCGTCGCTACGTGGCCCAGGAGCCGAGTTAGACGGAGGGGCGTGAAACCCCCCTCCCCCCAGCACTCGACGGAAAGTTCATGCCACCAACACGGCCCGGGTGAATTGTTATGTTAGCTAGCTCCTGTTGTAAGCTGTGGAGTCGTGGACCTGATCTTGAAGGAACTGGGCCTAACATTTTCATAGCAAACGTAAAAAAATGTTTATTAGGTGATGCAAAAAAATATCTCTTTTATGAAATATTTGCGAAACCCTCAACATCATCCTCATTAGTGCCGAGCTCCCAACGACGACCATAAAAACGTCCCCATCCCATCAGCGTGGGTTTATCATAAGGATGCTAAGATTTAATTCCAATCCGAAGCTGAAATGATGGAAAGCAAATTTACATTTTACATACGAAACAAGCTGACACAACTAAATGTTTTCTCTCTCGCTCCCTCTCACTGATTTACCCATTACCCTCTCTCTCATTTTACCCTTTCTAGTTTTCCTTTTCTGTCTCTCTTTTCTCTCCTC